CTCTTCGAAAACAAATATTATACTTACATAAAAACATTCGGCGATGTCCATTTTGATCAGCAATCGCATATTTATGACTGTATAAAGCGTTTCTTGCGAAGTAGCAACCAACACCCTACGATCACAACACAGAATTTTCTTACAAAAAAACGTAAGTGCTATTTATTCTTACCAATACTGTGCCGTGAATTCCTGCATGATTACGAGAAAAGTTTTCTTGTTGAATGTTTATTGCTGCTTGATCACTACAGCCTAGAAACAAAATACAGATTATAAAATCAAATGTAGCATGTTGGCATCAATATTCCTACCATGAAATAACCAGTTTTCTGTTTCTTTGCCCAATCGCTGATTAAATTCTTCTTTATGTGCACAATACTGTTTAAACCATCGTTTATTTTGAATTCGTTCGATATGTATAATTTGAACACCACCATATACTTGTTGATTATTTGCTTGACTAATTCGATTATTTGTACCTTTTTTATTAGCATTCTTTCCTCGACGTACACCACTATGAGTACTAATGTTACTAGAAGGTAACACTGTTTGCTGGGCTGCTACTGGCTGTTGATTAAGTTGAGTTGGATAAAATGGAGGGTTTTGATGGATAGGAGTAGGCAGCATATGTGAAATACTAGAAAATGCATGCTGCAATGTGGATATAGCTGTTGGTACTGTTATCATTTGAGGTTGATTCGATCGAAAATCAAGAGAAGGATTTTGGTTATTATTATTTACAGCCATTGTTTTGTTAAACAAGCTTAATACGAATAAATATTCTCTTGATTTTTCGTTCAATATAATACGAAAAAAATTTTGTGTTTGCGAGCGATCCCAGTATTTAGGTAACAGTTGTTCAGTTAACAATGTCACTGGAAAATTTTCGATTTTATCATTTATACTATTCAAAAACTAAATGTAAATTGAAAATGTATAAGATATTTCAGCAAAACTAGAATAATAAAAACTTACCGGACGATCATTCACCGATGGAATATTCATTCTTGGATTTTGTGTATTCAAGTAAAGCTTATGCTCATCTTCAAATAATTTTCCTCCCTGATACAGAATTATATCCGTCATTTCCTCCGGTGTTAAATTTAATTGTGATAAATCATTGTTAGTAACAGGATTTTTGCACATCGAGCAGGAGAGTATTTGATTGGTTTGACGTTGTTGCTGTATTGTTAAACAAAAGCAATCAAAACAAGTTGTACAATTACACGCTGCGTTAACGAATATAGTTGATTGCAAATGATTGCAATATTTCAAAATATTTCCTGCTACAAAATAGACCTTTTTTACTTCTCAATGTAAACACATCAAAGAAAAAAACATTTAATATGAAATACCTTCCTCTAAATGATCATTTTTTCTTTCTTTCTTATTTTGTTGAATATTGTCCAGGCTGCTATGGAATTATTAAATTCTGCTGGTCGTCCATTTAAGCATACTCCACATTGTTTGTCATTTATTGAGTTTATAAATGTACACAAGTTACACATCCAGTCATTAGTTGTCAGTTCAGTGAATGATATAACTGATGGTGACAAATTCCCGTTTGATTCTATTCGATAATCTGTACAACTGTCTGATTTTGTTGACTTCACAATTTCATTTGATGTTGTTATTCTGTCATCATTCCTTTCTTGTGGCCTTTCGAACTTTGGATCTACTGTTAAGGAGGAAACAATTGCTTTGGCTGTTATTGAACTTCTGGAGTTTTCAAATCTTAGCCGAGACGCACCACAAGCACTGCATATTCCTAATTGCAACGGATTCATTAATGTACATTTATAGCATGACCATTCATTTTCATTGTTTTTCTTTAGTTCTCTTAAATCGTCATTCCGATGTGAC